AATGAACTCCCCAAAGTTTCATGCCTATCAGATGAATGGTGTCACTGCAATTCACTTTTATTATTTTTATATACCGTATATAGAGAAAAATCTGACCCTCCCGTGGCGCCGCCCTTGCGAAATTAAAAATGATTTGTTTACAGAACCCTTCCCTAGAGTGTTATAATTAATTCCCCAAAGTTTCATGGCGATCGTGTGAACGGTGTCACTGCAATTCACTTTTATTATTTTTATATACCGTATATAGAGAAAAACAAATCGCGCCCTGCCGGGGCGCCACCCCTGCGAATTTGAAAATTTTTTTTTCCGCAGAAACCTCCCCAGGAATATTCTCAACAACTTCCCAAAGTTTCACGGCGATGTGATGAGAGGTGTAGTAATGCATAAAGGACAAACACACACACACATTGCTTTTTATATCTATATATATAAAGCAAAGTGGTCAAGTGCCCGATAGGGCACTTCCCGGCGCCGCAGGCGCGTCAAATTTGGCACGATGGTGCCTCGGGGCGATAGAACACGAGGGCCGGTGACGGTTGGCCGAAAAGTCCACGGAGAAGGGGTCAAAACTGACCTCGACTGACCGGCGCCTTATATGGGCTCTATTACGAAAAAAAATTTCCTCCGACGACCCCCCTTGAAATTTTGTGAGGTGGTAGGAGAACGCCTTGGGGTGTCAGAAAAAAATCGCCATGTCCGGGAAAATTCGTTAAATGGGTCAAAACTGACCAGTCGTATTTCCCTATATAATCTTTGTATTTTATGGGAAAAACAGAGGGTGATTTCAAAACGGATTTTAGGGTACTTACCGTCTTTACATCTGGCTAATTATTTGCATGCTCTTAGGTAAATGGCTTGACCTTTAGGGAAAACTGTCGGTTTCACTCAAAGCCCTCGACGAGGGCTAAAATGTGACCGCGAGTGAAATTCTCTTTATATGAGCTCTATTACGAAAAAAAATTTCCTCCGACGACCCCCCTTGAAATTTTGTAAGGTGGTAGGAGAACGCCTTGGGGTGTCACAAAAAACTCGCCATGTCCGGGAAAATTCGTTAAATGGGTCAAAACTGACCAGTCGTATTTCCCTATATAATCTTTGTATTTTATGGGAAAAACAGAGGGTGATTTCAAAACGGATTTGAGGGCACTTACCGTCTTTACATCTGGCTAATTTTTTGCATGCTCTTAGGTAAATGGCTTGACCTTTAGGGAAAACTGTCGGTTTCACTCAGAGCCCTCGACGAGGGCTAAAAAGTGACCGCGAGTGAAATTCTCTTTATATGAGCTCTATTACGAAAAAAAATTTCCTCCGACGACCCCCCTTGAAATTTTGTGAGGTGGTAGGAGAACGTCCTGGGGTGTCACAAAAAACTCGCCATGTCCGGGAAAATTCGTTAAATGGGTCAAAACTGACCAGTCGTATTTCCCTATATAATCTTTGTATTTTATGGGAAAAACAGAGGGTGATTTCAAAACGGATTTGAGGGCACTTACCGTCTTTACATCTGGCTAATTTTTTGCATGCTCTTAGGTAAATGGCTTGACCTTTAGGGAAAACTGTCGGTTTCACTCAAAGCCCTCGAAGAGGGCTAAAAAGTGACCGCGAGTGAAATTCTCTTTATATGAGCTCTATTACGAAAAAAAAATTCCTCCGACGACCCCCCTTGAAATTTTGTGAGGTGGTAGGAGAACGTCCTGGGGTGTCACAAAAAACTCGCCATGTCCGGGAAAATTCGTTAAATGGGTCAAAACTGACCAGTCGTATTTCCCTATATAATCTTTGTATTTTATGGGAAAAACAGAGGGTGATTTCAAAACGGATTTGAGGGCACTTACCGTCTTTACATCTGGCTAATTTTTTGCATGCTCTTAGGTAAATGGCTTGACCTTTAGGGAAAACTGTCGGTTTCACTCAAAGCCCTCGACGAGGGCTAAAATGTGACCGCGAGTGAAATTCTCTTTATATGAGCTCTATTACGAAAAAAAATTTCCTCCGACGACCCCCCTTGAAATTTTGTGAGGTGGTAGGAGAACGCCTTGGGGTGTCACAAAAAACTCGCCATGTCCGGGAAAATTCGTTAAATGGGTCAAAACTGACCAGTCGTATTTCCCTATATAATCTTTGTATTTTATGGGAAAAACAGAGGGTGATTTCAAAACGGATTTCAGGGTACTGACCGTCTTTACATCTGGCTAATTTTTTTGCATGCTCTTAGGTAAATGGCTTGACCTTTAGGGAAAACTGTCGGTTTCACTCAAAACCCTCGACGAGGGCTAAAAAGTGACCGCGAGTGAAATTCTCTTTATATGAGCTCTATTACGAAAAAAAATTTCCTCCGACGACCCCCCTTGAAATTTTGTGAGGTGGTAGGAGAACGTCCTGGGGTGTCACAAAAAACTCGCCATGTCCGGGAAAATTCGTTAAATGGGTCAAAACTGACCAGTCGTATTTCCCTATATAATCTTTGTATTTTATGGGGAAAAACAGAGGGTGATTTCAAAACGGATTTGAGGGCACTTACCGTCGTTACATCTGGCTAATTTTTTGCAAGCTCTTAGGTAAATGGCTTGACCTTTAGGGAAAACTGTCGGTTTCACTCAAAGCCCTCGAAGAGGGCTAAAAAGGGACCGCGAATGAAATTCTCTTTATATGAGCTCTATTACGAAAAAAAATTTCCTCCGACGACCCCCCTTGAAATTTTGTGAGGTGGTAGGAGAACGTCCTGGGGTGTCACAAAAAACTCGCCATGTCCGGGAAAATTCGTTAAATGGGTCAAAACTGACCAGTCGTATTTCCCTATATAATCTTTGTATTTTATGGGAAAAACAGAGGGTGATTTCAAAACGGATTTGAGGGCACTTACCGTCTTTACATCTGGCTAATTTTTTTGCATGCTCTTAGGTAAATGGCTTGACCTTTAGGGAAAACTGTCGGTTTCACTCAAAGCCCTCGACGAGGGCTAAAAAGTGACCGAGCGTGAAATTCTCATTATACGAGATTTGGTCATTTGGTCTATGAACAGGGGAAGTAACTTTTTAATGTAATAATTTTAAAAAATTTTGTATTCTCTTTTCAAGAAAAAAACAAAAATCATAGAGTATAGCATTGTTTTAAATAAATATTTTGTTATAAATTAAGTTTTGCATTGTACTGAAATTGTAAAAATTAATTGCGAATGTAATTTATTATAATATTTGATTGATACTATTGAGAAACCCCTTGCAGTTCTAATAACCGTGCGAGTAATAAGTTTGCGAATATTCCATCAATAATTGGGTAGCATGAAATTACACCACTGTGTAAATTTAGGCCCTAAGCATTTAAGATAGCAGCCAATCACCTATTAATTAATTATTCAATTCCTCAATTTTTTTGAAAACCTAAGCGAAGCTAGGCAGTATGCCTAGTATATAGATAAATATAAAAAATAAACACCCGCTTTTCTATTAGAATAGTTAGGTACTCTCAATTTCAATGTACTTCGAATTAAATTGTCCACCCCGAGTTGAAACTGAAACATTCAATTTCATGGTGGATATCACAAAGAAATTAAATGAGCTAAATGTAAAACTGCAAGAAAAGGAAAACCCAGCCTATGCCTTGCCTGAGAAGTGGATGTTTCGAAAAAAAATACTTTAGTGTGTTAAAGACACGGAGAGCGGAGATAAATTATTTGATTTCGAAAATTCTGAAAAAAAAAATGAAACCAATGCAACTATTTGCATGAATTGCTTCAGCATTACAACTAACAAAACGAAGGATGGATTCACTTAGAGATTGGAGCAATTCAAAACAAATGCAAGTACTCTGACCTTCATAGTAGACTCTACACAAAAACAAAATTAAAGCAAACCAGCATCAATTCCACTTAGCTAAAAGTTAAATGCAATTGCTGGATTTGAAAACGACACATTTATGGAGCGGAAAATTTACAGAACTCAAGAGCAAGTAAAAATAGTTGAAGGTCCAGTAAAACATGCACGTTACGCTACACAAGTGGACAGCTCTAATAACTCTAAAAGAAATGCCGCGAGTTGAGGCACTCATATTTGACGCATGTAAGTCTTGCAGTATTGTACAGTGACGTGGAGAAGTTGACATCTGGAGTGCTGACGATCTTAAGGTTAAGATATTCGTTCTAGCAAAAGTTCTCTTACATGAATATAATAAAAAAAAAGTTCAGTAAGAATCCAACTAACAAATTAAAATCTAGAGGCGTGCTTGAAACTTAAAACAAGAAGATATGAGCCAGATTTAAACAAACTTTCAAACGGCATGCAAGGTATGCTTCAATTGGTCTAACCTTCAAAAGAACAGCATGCTTATATCACAAAGTTACATTTCTCCAGAAGACATAATATTAAAATGGACATTAAGGGATATTTTATGTTAATACAAATTATTCATCAAAGAGATTAGGATTGAAGCTTAAATCTGTGTTATTTAAAATATTTTTTTTACTGAAATCATTATCCCCAAGTGAACAAAGAAAATATTTTATGATTAAATTTTGTACCAGGTATAACTTAATTTATGTTGCTTAAATCAAGTCTATATAGCTGAAGATAATTTAATTTTTTATTAACACAAATAACAAGGAATGTAATATTTTCTGTTAGTACTGTAAGTGTAATGTAGCAACTAATCCACTTTCAAACATGTATTCTGTATTTCCTGAATGGACATAACTGGAGACCATGAGGTCTTGCCTAGTCCTCATGATAAAAACCTGAATATATTTCATATTGAATGAAAGAATGTATATTTTTTAGTTTTGAAATTTTTGTAGGATGTTCAGATTTCATAATCTATTTTAACAAATTACTACCACCCCTCACTGGGCTCACTTTGGCCTTCACAAAATAAATATAGTAACAACTGGTAATTGTTTTAAACAAAAGTGGTATTGTTGGTGAGGAATTCATGACATCTATGCGTCCATGCATGTATATCGAACCACCATAACACAAAAAGCAACAGTAGATATAACAATTAGTGGGTAAAAACTAAAACATTTTTAATGCAGACACATGATTGCAAATTGATAAAGGAAACTTTACCATGCCAGGTAATTATATTCCATTATAACCATGTGTCACTATGTTGTTGGAGTAAAATGTCAAATAGATTGCAATTATTGAACTGAGCAGATTTGGACGAGCCTCAGATGCTTGAATCATTGGTATCTGATGAAAGATACTCATCCTCACTGGAATCTGCTGTTTCATCCTCACTTAAACCAAGGGGCTCATCTTCAGGAAGAATGTTACAGTTCAAGTACGGGTCCTTGGAGCTGTGCCTGACTAGCTTAGACTTGTATGCTGTGGGCATACTGTTGATTTAACACCATGCAAATCTGTTTAGATAAATATATAAATTAATAATACACTGAGAAAAGTTATCTCTGTACAAGTAAATCATGATCAAAGCAAATTCTCATCCTGGCCATAGTCACTCCTGCCATTATACTGGGTGACTATGGCCACTAGTACTCATACATAGTAAAAAAAGTGCTCATAGTGGGTTTGATCTGCAAATAACCCTCAAGTATTATTTTCATCCAAAACATGGCAGTTACCTATTTAACACCTGAGTGAGCATTGCGATCTGTGGTACAAGTATTTTAAGATCAACTTTGTTCATAGGGTAGATTTAATGGTGTAACATGTGAACACAATTGTTCAATGGGCAAACATAGGTGAATGAAGAAGAATCAGTTGAGATATAATGGATGTATTGTAATTCAGCAATGCTGTACTATTGTTACATCATACGATAACATATTGTGATTTATTTGGTCAGATTGAGTGAGCATTTGAAATAGATGGTTGTTAAAAACATAATGTTGGATTTGTTGTACATGGATGAGATACATATAATGAATTAGATTTGGAATCAATTTTGGAGCCTGATGTTTATAGCTGGATACATTATTTAACAGTTCTGACAAAGATGTCTAAAAAAAAAACCAACTAAGTTACTATATGTTAAAAGAGAAGATAATGAATTATTTGCAGTACCAATACTTGGTTGATTATTTGCTTCAAGTTCTTTTTGAATTCTGCTGATCACAAGACAGACATCTTGATAACTTGAGGAATATTTCCTTACTTCTGTTGGTAAAGTGACAAGAACTCTTGTTGAATGTTGACTTGGTTCTCTGTCAACTCTTGGAATACAGACAAATAGTAATGTTCAGATGGGCTTGGTGACAATAAATCAATAGTCATTTCAACCATCACTGCATGAAAACAACCCTACAGATAGGAGAAACATCACCACAGGTAGTCAATGAAGCTACACAAACAGCCAAAACACAGTGTATTAATTACTTTTGGCTTCCCCAGGATCCCATGGGTCAAGACAGGATTTTGAATTCAATATCATTCATAAAGTTGATAAAGAACATTTGTAAAATGGCGAGAATCATACCACCCAGTTGATAGGTGGAATAAGACATTACTCAATAGGATTAGACGCTTCGAGGAGGATGAGAAGGTGAATTGGAGAACAAAACTACAGGCAGTGTTACAGATAGAATAATTATTTTTTAGTAGAGGATACATACATTTTACTATGACCCAGTCAGTTCCATCTTAACTTTTAAAATAAAGCTAGAGTGAGCTCTAAATATTTTCTTCTAATTAAATTGCACAGGTACCTTCCCTACTAATCAAGTACAGTGCTGGTCCATGAAGGAAAGTTAAGTCCAAGTAGAACAACAACACCTCAACTTATGCTACAACAAAATATGGGGAGAGTGGATTGCATGGACCAAAATGTTGGCTGTTATAGGATAAGAATAATACCGCGTTTACACATAAGACATGTATACTACACATTTCTGGAACACAAAGCCCGCCAAAAATAAATTGTCTTGAAACAATTTGTTCACTGACGAAGAGTGTTTGTTTTTATGCGCTGCTGCTACCTTGATGACTAAAAGAAACAGAAAAAAAAAAGAATGAAACGTCGATGGTGGTCACGCAATTTTTTTTAGAAAAAAGGGATAGCCATGGGGCCTACAAATCAATAATGAATGATTTCAAATTACAAGACATGCAAGGTTTTAGAAATTTTGTAAGAATGTCAGCAGCTGAGTTTGAAACACTGTTATGCATGATAGCACCAAATTTGACATCCAATGGTACACGTTTTCGGATAGCCATTGCACCAGCCGAACGCGGTAACTTTACGCTACTTAGCAACTGGAGATTCATTTAATTAACTGATGTACCTTCACAGAATTTCAAAATCATAAATCAGTCAAATAATACCCAAAGAGTGTCAGTTTATAATTCAGGCTCTAGTACAGGTAAAAACATAAGTACAAACACCTATACACCATTCACTACCTGCAATTCAGAGTGTACTTATTTAATTGATAAATTTGATATGTGTGCCTGTCAAAGCTAACACTAGTGACTGCACCATGTAACATTTATAATCCTGTTAGCACTTATTTTCATTTTGTTGCTTTATTTCCAAACTTTTTTCTAGTTAAAAAAATTCAATTTGTCATTGTAATATAGGTATAGGCCTACTAATTGGGTTTATGTTTATTGTTAGTTAAAGCATCAGTGAAGGTTTAGTCAATTCAGTATAATGTAACTTATTTTTGTTGATCCAACAATGGACTATTAATAGCAATTTATTCCTAATTTTAACTATTTTTACAAAGGGTATGGCTAACCAAATTGAACAAGTAGGGTATATTCAACTTAAATGTCCATAGTAGCCACTTCACCCACAATATAAACTCATAAGTCTGCTACAGTTTCACTTTATCTCATCATTTTTAGTGCTTATGCTGTACCTATGCTGTTATAACTCTCCATGGGGGCATTAGTCATATTAAAGACAAGTTTATATAAAAAAAAAAAACCTGATAAATAAAGAAGTATTCAATTAAAAACAAAAAATACTCATTCCTTCATATAAATAGGCCAAAACCTAAACAATAAAAAAATTTGAGACCTTAGGATTATATGGGTTAATAATCAATATGCCTACAAAGACAATTGTATTTTACTAGTGGATTCCACTATATATATATTGTATCATGGACATAGTTTTAAAATTACTACACACTTCCAGTTTCCATCTTGATTTCACCTTTGTAAGTTGTTTATGTAGCATCAAGATGGATTGGTCAAAGCCAAATACTATAAAATTAATAGAACAATTAGGAACTAAAAACTGCTTGTGAGATTCAATTAGCTCTGACTATAAAAATAGACAGATAAAAAGAAATCAGTAGGCCTATTTAGAATTTGGAAATATTTTCAAGACACCAATAAAAGAAGTTGAGAATAAGTGGCTTAACTGAACAGCTCAATTTTTTTAGGGAGCTTGGCAGATGTAAACTGTCAAAAAAAAAAAAAAAAACCAGTGTCAGCAACAGAGGATATTTGAAGTAAATGGTACTCTTTTGAACTTCCAATATCCTTGCAGGATGTTAGCAAGCCACAAGTAGCTTGTGCACTATGACTTTGGTAAATCTATATAATTATATTACTATCTCTTGTTGCTTATCCTTTTGTATTCTTTTTTTTTAAAGCCATATTTTGGTTGTCATTTGTTTGTGAATATGGTGTGTGGCACAGGGAGGGGACTTTCAGAGGGAAAGTCAAGGACTGAGAAGTGTTTTAGTTTCTGAATTAATTCTTATGGTCTTGGTTACATATATTTTTAAAATTTTGTTTTTATTTTAGACTAAGGTTACGTGTTTACCAGTCAAGGGTTTAGCCAGACTTGCACTGAAGCCCAATAGTTTAATTATAGTTTAAGGGATTAAATTAGGTATCCCCCCTAGTCTGGGCTTACATTATAATAAATTTAAACTAATAAGGTGAATGAGAGAGGATTTGAAATGTATGGACTTTGATGAGACTGCCAAATAAAGAGTTATCATAGTGTTGAAAGGGAGAGCAACACCAAAGAAATGAAACTATTAAGGACCCAGTAGAAGTAATAGGTAGAAATTATATGGACACAAGACCAGTATAGTTTAACTGGGCACAAAGATTACAAAAGGCAGTTGTGAATCCTGCTTGTGTAGGTATGATGTATACAAGAAAAAAACACATCTAGAATGGGAAGACATGAGAGATGAGAAAATGGACACATTGGTTTGCAAGCTAAATCCAAATGATGAAAGGCCAATGCTTTCCTTACTGCAAAAACAATAAATGTTATTATTAACAAACTGTCAGATTTGCACACAGAATCATCTTATCACATTTTAGAAGTATTATTCTAGGTAATTCAGTTCATTCAACTTGTCCCAACCATATAACTTTTCTCTGATTACAATCAGGAAATGACTAGATTATATGGAACTATACAACTGATTTGTTTTATGCCAGGAAATGATTATATCATATGGGATATATGACACAGCTTATCTCTGACACATGTCAGGAAATATATACTGTATCCTAATTGAATATTCAAATCATATTCATATTTCTTTACTTTTTTTTTTAGCATGAGAGCAATATTTTTTTCTTAGAAATTCATCTCATTTGTATGAGCTGTGCAAAGTAAAAATATAAATCCCATACAATTTATCTCTGGCATTGCAAAAGTAATTTTAATGATAAATATACTTTTGCGTGTTGCTTTTCAATCTGAAGCAAAAATATGAATTCCAAATAAAAAAAACTAAGTTAAAGAAAGCTGATGCCTTTTCAACAAGAAAAATCATTTGGAAGGAGACTTGTTACATATATGGGGAGACAAGATAGAGATAATTAATTACAAGAGATCAAGGCAGCTAGCTGAGCTAAATTTCTGACAGTTTGACTAGGGGAATTCAGGACACAACTGCTAGGATTTCATTTGAAAAAGACTGGGGAAATCAAACAATTTTAACATGAGAAATATGTCAAAACTTCCACCAGATCAAAAACAGGATACTTTCCAAAAAGCAGTGAAGCTGACATGTTTAAAAAAACAGTGTAGACCTGTTTGAGTAAGATGAAAAAGACTATCCAGTCTCTGTGGACTTTTTAAAAGCAGTTTTACAAAAGCTTTAACTATCAGAAAACTAAAAGATCAGTTGATACATCTAGCTATGGTTCAAGCAGATGAGGCTATTTACAACAGTAAGATTGTAACTATTGCATCTAATGAACCACAGCCGTTGACAAGCATTTAGATACTTATCATTTGTCCACTTCTCATCCCCAGATGAACTATACTATCTCTACAGCTAGGCGTGCAGGCAATAGGACCTATGCCTATATATCCTGACTGCTCTAAAATATCTGGCTTGTAAAAGAAGATTGAAGATCTCATCACCTATCTGAATGCGAGTGGGTGAATGGTTAATTTTTATTATTATATTATTGTGTGTGAATCTGTTTCGTAATTGTTCAACTGGACAGGGATTACAGGGTTTGACTAAAAGAAGTGGCTTATACTTAGGCAGAGTACAAGCAGATGCCACCACTTGAGGTGATAAGCTCTCTGAAGGCAAAGTATGGGAGCTACTTAACTGACAGCACCAGTCAACAAGTGTGTCCTCCAGATGCTGGAAGATGAGCTGAATGTGCAGTTACTCCAGCTGAACTGCAACATTCACCCCTTGGACACCATTGCAACACGTGCCAGCACCTGCCTCAGCAAGCTGGACAGAGAGTGGAACATCCAGGCAACTAGTGGAAAGGATGGTGTAGCTGTGCCTTTTAATTTATAACTTATCTAAACTAAGGTTAGTAGTAAAATAAATATTATGTAATATTGGAAGTGTGTATCTGTATATAGTTGAATATAATATATATATATATGTACTACAATTTTGTTTTTCAGATGGCCCTAGAAAAGATCAAGAAGATTAAGCTGGATCCCAGTAGCTGCTAGCTGAGTGATGAGGATGTTTTTGGACAGAAGACAGTGGCTGAGAAAGTTCAATAAAGTTCTGTTGATGGAAAGGGACAATAGGCCCCTGCATGATGTCCTGTCTGTGCTGTTACAGTCTATGCAGGATGTTATGGAAGGGTAGATGTCCCCTTACTTGACTGGTAGATATTCTAACCCTTCTGGGGAAATGTTTAAAACTACTCAGTTCGTGCCAACAAAAAACATGCTGAGCAGACACTGGGATTGATGGACTTCAAGTACACCAAGCTCCAAAAGCCACAAGGTTATGCAAAGCCGAACTTAAACCTTCAGTGGCTGGAAAGTAGTCAGAAAAAGAGCAGCAGAGGCTGATTAGCTTTACCAAACAATGAAGAATAAGAAAATATACATTTTGTCAGTAAGGAAAGTTGTTTACCAATTCATAT